TGCAGTGAGGTGAAAGAAGCTTTGCCAGCCAAAAATCATAGACGATTAATAGCCATAACACAGAAAAATTAAAAATAAACCTAGAATCATGGAAGAGTGTGTGAAAAGGTCATATGGTTACTTTGCCCAGAATGTAACAGCACATTCTGGTAGACACTGCTGAATCCAGCCTGGTGTAGACAGCTAAGATTGGCTAGAGTCTAACTCATAACCACATGTAGCTGACTCTCCCTGGAAGACTTATTATTATTTTTTTTCTGGATGGCAAGTTGTCTGCTTTTGTTGTTTTTCTAAATGGTCATGTTTTCAAACTATCTTCTAAATGTGCATATTTATGCCATAGATAGCATCATACTGAGCCTTCATCAGAGAACTGTTTGCAACAGTAGGCTGTGGTTAATACAGATTCTATACCTGGCCAAGGTTCTGAGAAGTGATGGCGGACCATTCAGCCCACAATATGATACCAATTTCATCCTCTCAAAGGCTCAGGCTCATCCTGGCAGAGAGGTGGGAACAATGTATTGTCGATGTCTTTCTGTACTCTGAAATTAATCCCTGGTCAGATGAACAAGTAAAGGAGGGTGTGTCTCATTCTATCAGCCTTCTATTCACTTTGACATTGTTTTTCCTTTCTGTGCTTTTAAAATTTCAAGTCATTCTGTTTGTCACTTTTAGTCTAACTTCCTTAGCTGTCCTTGCCTATGCCTAGGTCCTCTGTTTTCCTGTTACTAGTTTCTATTTCAGGACTTATGGCCATTTGTCAGGGACCATTGTCCTAAAGATGATAGCAGGGACCATTGTCCTAAGGATGTTTGCAGAGAGCCACACATCCCAACTATCTTGAGAACTGTTTGTTAACGGAACCACAAAAAAAATGTTTCTGCTTACACCAGGTGTGCTGACTAGTGACTTTTGCTACCCCCTACCCCCACCCCAAGCCAAGTTGCTCATTCAAGGGCTATATAAGCTGTAACCATTTCCCTAATAAAAGGAGACCTTGACAATTGAATTCTGCTTTGTCTCCTTCTTTTCTCTTGCCCATGATTCATACAGGTAGAACCTCTTCAGACCCTGAATAACTGGACCTGATGGATGGGTTGGCCGATGTTATATTTTGAAATGATTTTTTTTGGGATGTGGATTATTAAACTTGTTTGGTGTTCTACACACATAATGTAATTTTCTGAGCTCAAATTTATTTGATGGAGGAAGGTAATTGGTTAATTATAATAAACCAACTGCTTGGCCTCATAGCTTAGAACATAGGTGGGCGGAATAAACAGAATAGGATGCTGGGCGGAAGAGGAAGTGAGGTCAGACTCTGCTCAGCTCTCCTGGGTAGACTCGACAGCTCTGCTCTAGAGCAGAGACACCATGCCATCCCAGGCAGATGCACGCAATGAAGCTCCTCCAACCCAGGATGGATGTAGGCTAGAATCTTCCCGGTAAGCACACGTTGGGGTGCTTACACACATTATTAGAAATGGGCTAGTCCAGGTGCGAGAATTAGCCTGTAAGGGCTAGAGTTCATGGGCCAAGCAGTTCTTTAAATGAATACAGTTTGTGTGGTGTTATTTCGGGCATGAGCTAGCCAAGCGGCCGGGGTGTTGGGGACGCAGCCCCGCCGCTCCATATTTCAACATTTATTAGTATTTTTTATCCCTAACATATTTTGACACAACAATTGTGAGGCTGTCAATGAGTGTTTTATTGTTGACTCTTCTAATATATTCCATTGGTTACATCCCTTTTCATACCAGTCCCATGCTGGTTGTAGCACCATAGCCCAGGAGTTCAATTGGAAATGAGAAAATGTGACACCTTTAGCATTGTTCTTTTTTGTATGGATTGTTCAGGATAATCAGTGGTTTTGGATTTTCCTTTCAAATATGGGAACTCTTCCTATTTCCTTAAAGATTACATTTTAGAATCTTGATAGGAATTTTAACGAATCTGTAGTCTTTTTCAGTAATATGGATATTTTAACAACATTTATCTTGCTGATTCATGAGAATAGCTGTTTTTCCTAGCTTCTAATGTCTTACTCATTTTCTTCCCTCAAAGCATTAAAGGTTTCATGGTGGGAATTCTACACCTCTTCGTTTAGGGGGTTTTCACACTGACACAGTCTACGCTCACCTGGAGCATAGTTTCAGTGAAATATTGTCTATGTTGGGTGTCCTGTGTGGATGTCTAAGGGAGGTTGTCTTAATTAGGGTAACAGATGCGGGAAGTCCCAGACACTATAGGCAGCACCCTTTCCTAGGCAGAGAACCTTGAACTGTATGAGTGAGAAATCAGCCCGAGCACAATCAGAGAAGCAGCGAGCATGCATGCATTTGTGACTTTCCGCTCTTGAGCATGGTGTGATTCAGCTAAGTTCTCTAAGTTCAGTAACCATGACTACACCACAGTGAAGAGTTGTAACTCGGAACTGAGTCAAAGTAAACCTTTTCCCCCTTGGGCTGTCTTTGTCAGGATATTTTATCACGTTAATAGCAATGCATGTAGGGCAGGCACATCTACAGGCGTTTATTTTGAATGGTATTGTATTCTAAATTCCCTCTCCATGTGTTCCTTAGGGGTGTATAGAAATGCTGCCGGGTCTTGCACATTCTGTTTCACATTCTAGTGATTCTCTAGCAGAGTGTCCCTGATCCAAGAGTTTTCTGGTAGAGACTGTTTTAATTATTGAGTCATAACATCTTCAAACAGGTACAGTTGATTTCTTCCCATGTTATTTGTAGTGTATTTCTTTTTATGCTGTTTTTCTGGCTGAAAATCCAGGCAACTCTAGTAGTTAGTTTTTGGTTTCTGTGATAAAGTTTTCTGATAAGATGCAAATTAGGAAAGAATGGGTTCATTCTGGTTTAAAGTTCAGAGTGACAGAGTCCATCACAGCAGGAAGGGAAGGTGACAGGCAAGGGTGACATAGCAGTAGGACAGGAAGCTGACTGAGCACATTTTCTTCTGCAGTCATGGAGCGAAGAAGGGAAATGTGATTTGGAACCAGGCTTTAAAACCCCAAATCTTCTGAGTGATGTCTTCTTCCAGCAGGGCTCCACCTTTACCACAGTGGTTCTCAACCTATGGGTCGTGACCCCGTTCACAGGGATCTCGCATCAGCTGCCCCGCACACCAGATGTTTACATGACAACTCATAACAGTAGCAAAATTACAGCTTTGAATTAGCAATGAAATTAATTTTAAGGTTGCAGGGGTGAGGATCACTACAATGTGGGGAACTGTATTAAAGGGCTGCAGCATTAGGAAGGTGGAGACCTACTGTCCTAAAGCTTCCATAGCCTTCACAGACATCTCCACAAACTGGGGACCAAGTGTTCAAATACCGAAGCCTATGGGAGACATTTCTTACGCTCAGTCACTACAGGCAGCCCAGTGAAAAGCACTTAGAGAGCAGACCCACTTCTCTCCTCCTTATTATTAGAAGAAACTGAGAGAGTTGTGGGTGGGGAGGGGCACAGGCCAGGCTTTCCTAGTAGCCTGACAGAAATCTAAGCCTTAGTTTTGGTTCACTAAAATGGAGCACAGCTAAACAGGCAGTTCTTAAAAAACCATTATCTACAGGCAACCAACTAGCAGATACCCCCAGTCTTCTGCTTGCTCTGCAGGTCCCCAAAGGTCTTCCACTAGCTCAGCAGACCCCCAAAGGCCTTTTACTAGCTCAACAGACCCCCACAGGCCTTCTCCTGGCTTAGCGGAGACCCAAAGCCCTTCTGCTGGCTCAGCAGATGCCCCCCCCAATCTTTTGCAAGCTAAAGATAGCTTTCCTTATCCTGCTGCAGGAAGGTCCCTAACCACTAAGTCTTCCCACCAATCAGACCCCAGACTAACCTTTCCCCCACCAGTCAGCCCTACATTAATCCCTCCTCTCTGGAATTCCCCTAACTCTGCTTAAGAGGAGCTGTGACCTTCTTTGTGCTGTTGTCCTGTGCCACTTAGTGTTGGAATTAATAAAGCGCTCTTGTTGCTGCTTGCTTGGCTGTTGGCCTTTCCTCAGGGGCTTCTCTCGGTCCCTCACAGAAGCAGTTTACTTTTCTCGTGTCAGAATCCTGTTTTTTTTTTATTTTATTAAATTTTGACATAAGAAATATTCTGTTTGTCATTTCTTTGATTCCTATGTTCATCAAGACATTTTGCCATTAAGAGAAGTATCGCAAATACTTCCCCAAAAACCCAAACAAACAAAAAGCCTCTGAAGTTCTTCAAAACCCTTTTCTTCACTTGAGATGATCATGATTTCTTTCCCTGAACCTATTTATACGCGGAGCTCTATTGATTGAGTGGCATATGTGGGGCCATCTTTATTTCCTAATTCATGTAGACACAAAGGCCTGGTGGCAGCAGGGCTGGGAGCACATCCCAGCCTCAGACCCCCAGCAGGATAATGCCAAGGACGCTGAATAGAGATGGTGGTGAGAAAGTAGCTGAGCTCTTCACCTGAGAGGGGACTCAGCATGGCCAGGGAGAGACACCCTCCTTTCTTCTCCAGAGAGGGGACTAACAGGCCAGGGAGAGACACCCTCCTTTCTTTTCCAGAGAGGGGACTCAACATGGCCAGGGAGAGACATCCTCCTTTCTTCTCCAGAGAGGGGACTAACAGGCCAGGGAGAGACATCCTCCTTTCTTCTCCAGGGAGTGGACTCAGCCTGGCCTGGGAGAGACACTCTCCTTTCTTCTCAATAGAGGGGATTCAGCATGGCCAGGGACAGACACTCTGCTTTCTTCTCCAGAGAGGGAGCTGAATATCCAGGGACACACACTCTCCTTTCTTAGTCTCACTTTAAGGTTGTGCGGGAGGCAGCTGTGGGTGTGTGTCCTAGAGTGGAGGGTAGCAGGCCTCTTAAGCCCCCAATTTTAAAAGATCACACAAAGAAGTATTAGTATTTGCAATTAATTTAATGAGTAGAAAGAAATGCCTTTGAGATTCCAACAATAGTCTTGCACTTTATAGACCGAAAGATAAAATCAAGAAAGAAAAGTTATGATTTGTGGTATCAGCTGCTGGCTCATGATCATTCTGTTCATTTTTGTGAGCCAAAGGTCTCGTGGAACTTTTAGGCAGACTGTGGACAGTCTTTACTGTTGTATATAGCATTCTGAAAAATAAATGAGGAAGTGACTTACATTATGATCTTTGACTGACAGCCCAATATTAAAAAGAAAAAATCTTGTTTTTTTAAAAATTATTTTTTCAGCATTTTCAATAACTATTAAGTATTCCAGAAAGCTTCCAGAAAAAAAGGCAATTAGGTGCATGTGTTCTATCATTTAAGAGACAAGAAACCATGAAAACAACAGCAGTAACAAACCCAGAGGGTTTTGGTTTCTTCAAAGATTCCCCTTATTACCTTCCACTCTACCTTCCAACCCCTGCCCAAGAGCCACTTTCATAGGAATTCATTTTATACCCACTCTGAAGCCAGAAGTCTCTGTGGCTGAAGGTATCTGATGACCCTCAGTTTGAATTACTCTGCTACTATTTTTACCACTTGCTCAACTGAAAGTTTGCTTAACAGAGAGGATGGCTTGTAAAAATTCTTCAGTGCTCTAAAAAAATCGACTAGGGAGTCCTCACCGGTACTTTCAGACCCTGTGTATTCCTGTGGTTTTAGTTAAAACTGGGCAGATTTCTAAGATTTGGCATCTGTAGGATGCTTAAATGGAGCAGGGACATTTTAGATAAATTATTGGAACTACATTTTTATGCTTGAAAATAGATTATTATTAGTGTTATTATTATTGTTGTTGTTATTATTATTTTTTTAAATGTTTTATTTATTCATTTTAATAATTTGTTTAACTTTATTTTATGTGGATTGGTGTGAAGGCATCAGATCCCCAGAAACTGGAGTTACAGACAGTTGTTAGCTGTCATGTGGGTGCTGGGAATTGAACCCGGGTCCTCTGGAAGAACAGCCAGTGCTCTTAACCGCTGAGCCATCTTTCCAGCCCCCCATTGTTATTATTTAAAGAGACTCTTAGTCATGACATCCTTATACTGGGGTCTTCTGCACTCACTCTGAGTTGGTGCCAAATGCAAGGGTCCCTGGTCACCGACACAAAGCAGGACTACTTGAGAGTCAAGTGTATTTTTCTCTGACTAAAGAATTTGAGGGCTTTCTCTGTGTCATGATGTGCTTATGTGTGTGTGTGTGTGTGTGTGTGTGTGTGTGCATGTGTGTGCATATGCCCATGCATTCATGTGTGTACCTGTGTTTGTGTGATTGGGAGGTAATAGATAAGAGAGTGATCTCTGGGCAATTTCCTTTGTTTTTGTGTTTTTCTTTAATTATTTTAAAATCCTCAAAATAATATGGAATATCAGCTGTGTCTTTCAATGGTTTTCCTGAACAAATTGTCACCACTAAATCAAATTATATTGTTCAAAAATAGTATACAGACAATGTTTGCTTGGACCTTATCAGTCACAACATTGTAAATTGTTTTTCCTCATTAGTGGAAATATAAACATGTATGTATATATGTAAATATAAATGTATAAAATACACAAATATGTACATATATGTATATATGGTGTGTGTATATATGTGTGCATCATACAAATATATATAGTTATATAATACAAAAAAGGAAAAATGTATAATTACCACCATCACTTTAACATTGTTGAGAGTATCCTCAGACTGGTCCAGGAAACATTGTTTCAATTTGGCCACAGCCTTTCGGTCATAAGGAAGAGGTGCGTATGACTTAACCACGCCCTGATACTCAGTCACAGACACTGATGAGTTAATAGTCTGTGCAATGACGTCATCCATTGCATGACAGCCAGAACCTGGAAAGACATGGCATTCATCACTGGAGGTCTGAACTCAATAGTGGTCACCTCTCATCACAAACATCTTGCTGAGTATAAGTAGACACAGATTAGCAAAGGTGGTGGGCACTGCCAAATCTGGGACAGAAACTGCAGGTTGCAAGATTCCACTCAGAAACTGCAAAATCTGTCCCTGACATGGCAGCACAAAGAAGCCAAACCCTCACACAACCTTCACTGAGAAGGACACTGAAGAGATGGCAGGCTGTTGGGCTGGGTATGGTAAATATTTTGGATCTTGTTTGATCAAAGCCTGACACATTTTGTTTCTGTTTTGAGAACATCATGGAATATGTTCAAACATCCTATAACTATCATGGCTAGAAAAGTATCTGCTTTTGCTCTGTTAACTCGAGCATCTGAATCACAGAGCAACTTAAACAGAAACTCTGGTACTTGAAGTGACGTCATGCAGAAAATGGAAGCCGACTGCAAGATTCCTTTAGGTTCTTCAAAATTGCCCCTAATAAGCAAACAAGGACATCAAATCTCACTGACCTTTGTCAGCAATGACACACAAGAAATGAGAAGCTTTGTTCTGATGGGACACAGACAGTGAACTGCTGTGTCTTTCTTTCTTGTAGCCGTGATGCATCTCAGTGCTACTCTGTAAACCCCGTGAAGTATTTTACAGTAGTTTATAAATATTAACCATTGTCACCGTTAACTCTACCATCTGCATCAGAAGTATCATAAACCATAAACTCTTGTACTTGAAGTGATGTCATTGTTCAGCCAGTGGAAGAGAAAGAGGTCAAGGTTAACCCTGATTTTCCTATCAAGTTAACTGAGAACTCCACCTTCTTATCATTTTGCACCAGCCTCTCAGATAAGTGAAGTCGATAACATAAACAAAGCAAATTATACAAAGTCTATTACACTTGTGACATGTTTGTACTGACTACATTTTCAGGGACAAACCTTTACTTCTGTCATTTCTTCAAGTGGACTTGGGGAATGTGAACTCTACTCTCTACCAGCAGGACTAGGATGTAAGTGGCTCTATGTGAAGGAGTCAGAACAAGCTTTGACAGTCTGTTTTGTGGTTTATTCCTAGGTCACATGCTACAGTTTGAGAAGTAACTCCTTGCACAGTTAAAGAGATTCTTAAGTACAATTTTTAGGAAACCCATTTAGGTCCAGGGTCATTTATATTTTTCCCATTTTCTGTAAAATATCTCGCATCCAAATTCAAGACCTGCCATGGATTTCAGGAGAGCTGTCATCTCCTTGGGACCTCCTGTGTGGTAGTGACACATCACACACAGCTCTAACGCTGTAGCCCAACCTGCATCTGTGATGCCTCTTTGACTATCTGGACTAGTGTTGAGTTTCAGGGCTATTGAGCCAGACACTTTGTAACACTGTTGACATTCTGTGGCTCAGGGGCTAGGGCTTCTTAGCTAGAACAGAAACAGTGTGTGGTCTGAAAGCAGCCCACTGCTCCACAGAACTCACTTCCCAACCCCTCAACAGAACCCACCACCCACCCCTCCAGAGAACCCCCCACCCACCCTTCCACAGAACCCATTGCCCACCCCTCCACAGAACTCACTGCTGGCATAGCAGTAAATGGGGATGGCGGCCAGCATGAAGACCAGTACCAGCTTCATGTTGAGGAAGCCCTTGTAGGTTGGTCTTTGGTACAAGATGGAGATCAGGGAACTTTCTGCAGTTGAGACCTTAGCGCTCTGCTATTTATTTCTTGGGCAGGCCCTTTAGTGCCACCCAGGAAATAAAAACGCAAGTCATGAGAGCAACGTGGCATTGTAGCAGACAACACGAGAGAACATGAAACAGAGCCAAGGAAGCCTAGGATTTGTTAGTAGAAAACAAGGAAACAAATAATTAAGAATGACAATTGGTGACCTTTCACTGAGCTCTTCCAAAAATATTGCAGATGGCAGAACTGTAGTTTGATGTTTGAAAAGATACTCTCTTCCCCTTCATGCCCTCTCTCCTTCATTTGCTCCTCTTTGTCTTCTGTCTTCTTCATCTTCTTCTCACTCCTTTCATTCTTTCCCTTTCTCCTTCTTCATCTTTCTTAGCCTAAGCCCTTTTTTTGTTCTTTTTTTATTTTCTAATTTTAAGCAGCTTCATTTTATTTACACCTGTTTCTGATGGGTCCAGTGGCTAGGGTCAGTGCACAACCACACACCCTTTTGTAGGCAGGGTTCCTGTTGACCCTCGTCTTCTTTGACTTCCAGAGGAAGTTTATTGCCCACAGATCCTTACTATAGAGTCTTACAAAGAGTCATTTTATTAGATGAACATTCACTGTTCATTCTTGATAGCTAAACATATTTCTCCTTCTGTGTTAAAGGTCTAGGGTATCACCTCTCGTGAATCAGGACACTGTCAACTATTAGGGATCCTTATTACTTTATGGGAGGAGGGATGATGGCGTATGGTGAGTGACCCGTGGTTCATGCAGATATAACATCAAGTCCTGGGGATAGCATCTGCTCATGACTTACCATGACTTATCATGGAGCAGCTGTTCTTTCTCTCTGAGCTTCCCTTTACCAATGGTAAAGTGAGTATAGATAAAACTCTGCTGAAGTTTTAGCAGGACAGCAGATTCAGCATATAAGTAACCCTTCCAAATAGCCTATATAACCACTGATTTGTGGGAGTTTTCTACTGCGGAAACTGTAGACATTAGTATGACGGTCCTTCAAGTTAAAAAGCAAGAAAATCAACAAACAAAAACAATAAAAACAAACACAAAATTACTATGAAATCCAGTTAGATCATGTGGGTATATAATGGAATGACACAGGTGTCATGCACATCCATAATTATTATAGCATTAGTAAAAATAACCAAGCTATTCGATCAGCCTGGATGTTTATGATAAGATAACTAGACAAAGAAAATGTGGCATTTCCTTCCTTCCTTCCTCCCTCTTTCCCTTCCTTCCTTCCTTCCTTCCTTCCTTCCTTCCTTCCTTCCTTCCTTCCTTCCTCCCTTTCTTCCTTTATCCCTCCCCCCTCCCTCCCTTCCTAAGTCCCTTCATTTCTTCCTTCTGCATCTAGTTAGTGCTGAGGTTAAGCAGAAGAGCATGTGGCCATCCACTGGGCCTAGGTAATCTACTAAGGACCACATCCCTAAAGAAAAGTAACTTTTATTTCTCCATCAACCATCAACTGCCAATAGTTCTTCAAATTAATTTTTTGTTAATGTTTGGGGAGGTGGACATAGTAGTCCATGGTCCTTGCATGACACAGAACACATATGTAGAAGTCAGAGAGCAACTTTGTGGAATAAATTATCCTCCTTTACTTATGTGGATTCTGGACATCAAATTGATTCTGAGATATCAACCTCCTGAGTCACTGTGCCAGCTCAGAACACTTTTGAATGAAAAACAATATTTCATTGAAGAAATCTTGAGAGAAATTCAAAACATCCTAGAAACAAATGTAGATCACGGCTCTGACCATCAGAGCCTCTGGGATATGCCCCACATAGTGTAAAGATGAAGTTATAACTATAAGTGCTCACTGTAAAATCTCCACAGGCTCTCAAATAAATAATCTATTATACAGCTTAAAGCTCAAGAAAATGAGAAGCCAAACCCAGTACAAAGCAAAAAAAAAATGTTGAGGTGGTTAGTAACAAAACAGAATAAAATAATACGTAGAATAATGAAAGAATTGACTGAGAAACTAAGAAAAATTGATAAATCCCAGTCAAAGTAAAGAAAGAAGAGAGATTATCCAAGTTAATAAAATTAGACACGAAAAGGGGAAACATAACAAAACACATTCTCTGCAGCTAGTATTAGCCAAATACCCAAACTGGATAAATGCATAATAGCAGTAGAGTAGGTAAATGATAACAAATAGGCCTAAACCCACCACAGCGCAGCCCACTGTGCTGCATATTAAATAAAAATTAGTTTAAACTGAAAATAACGCTTGTCAGAAAGGAGTTGTAAGTGCAGAGAGGAAGGACAGTTGGGACAGGATGTGACTGAATAAACGAGCTGCAGGTACAAAGATGACTAATGTAGGCGCTTGTGTGTTTCAGATCTTACTGTGCTGCACCCAAACACTGTCTCCAGCCCAAGTGTATTTGGGAAGGAAAAGGTGGGGGTGAATGGAAGGGTTAGGAAAGAGTAGAGGGAGGAAGAATTTATTTATGTTTTAAATTAAAATTAACAAATAAATTATTTTGTAATATAAATGAAAGTAAGATTTCTTCATACGAAGCAGAGGAGAGAGATACTGATTAAGACATACAAAAATTTGGAAGAGTAAAATTTTGCACTTGGACATGAATGATTAAGGGAATGGAATTGAAGATGGAGGAAGGCAAGGGTCGTGGCATGCAAAGAAGACAAGGTAAAAGGACTAGATGTGAAGCTGAGCCCTACATGCTGGAGGACGAATGTGCTCTTGTTGCTTTGGTCACCTTACTAAACTGAGGGCTTGATTGCCTGAGTGAAAGATCTGTATCTGCACTATTCACCAGTTGTCACCTTGTCTGCACTTGGGATCGTTTCTCTGACACAAGTTTGTTCTTTAACTGAAACCAATGATGCTTGAGGAACGTAGGTAGGAAGTATAGCAGGCTTCTACACACGTGATAAGCCAATAGCACAGCAGCCATCATATACTTCTAACAATAATATATCTCCAGATATGTACACAGGGCGTGGGGGATGTGGGGAGTAAATCTCTCCCTCATCTCCCCCTCTTTGAATGACTTAGATAAAAGCCTCACACTGATGGTTCCCTTATAGCTCACAGGAAAATGTCATCATTAAAATAAAATGGAAGAGTAAACCTGATGAACTGGATAATATGTCAGGGTAGGCACCAAAAAAATCAAATAAACTATTACTTTGTTAGGAGATTAAAGGTTTAACCATACACACTTGGCCCAGGAAAGTTGGGTAAAGTTCAGTTTCATCGAAGGTACCATGGGGAAGCAGCCAGTGGCTGGCACTTGGCCCTGGCTGTGCTTCAAATTCAGGCTTCTGACCTTAGATGATTCTTTTTTTTTGGATCCAGATTAGAGCATATCATGGTAAATGATATCTCTACTCTGTTGATGACTGCAAAGTCCTCATCTAACACAGTAAAGGGTGCTGTGAGTGCCCAGGAAGTCATGCAACATCTGGCTTTAGTATCAGATCTGACATCTCCCTTGTCTAAAGTTTAATGCTTTTGTGAAAATCCACTCTCTAAGTGCATATAGTGTTAAACTGAGACTTATGATTAGTGTAAAACAGAGAGGTCATGAGAGGTAGTTCCATTGTCCTTAATTGGCACTCACTGTAATTCTTGTATATGAAAAAAGGTGAATAGACTCTGCCTTCGAATAACACAAGGAGGGAGGATGGGAATGAAAGCCTTGGGAAGTTCAGGATTTGGTGACATCTCCTCATTTTCTAAACCTAGCCCAGCCTAAAGCACATGCACTGTATGCTCACATCTTACTATAGTAGCTTATACTTGCAATCCCGGAACATGGTGGACTGAGGAGGAGGATTAAAGGCTGCATGAGTTTGCAGCTAGTGTGGACTGTATTTAAATTTGGCTTTGGGATAGCCAAACCTAATATTAGAAAACAAGACATGCTCTAGAAAACAATAAAAGCAAAGTCCTCCACTGATCTGATTCTCAAGGATTTCGTCCCTCTAAAGTTTCCTCCCCGGTCTACCTTCTAGAACAGTTTGTCCATATCTATTTACACTGTGATAACCCCAGCATTTTATCCTACTGTGTATGTCCCTTCAGCCTTATCAGCAATATAACGGGACACAGGCCTTTCCCATAGATGACTCACTATAGACTCTCCACTGAGGCCATGGCCTCTCTCTTATCCAACCCCTTTTCAGACTGGAACAGATAAAATCTCTCTCTCTCTCTCAGAGAGATCACAGCTGCAAATTTCACTCTGTTTTCAACCCCCATGTGCACACATGTTAAGGATCATGTTAGTTACACCACTGGGCAGGTATAGATGGGGCAAGGTGTGGTGTGTTTGGGCTGAGTCATTGTTTTGAGGGAGACCTGACAAACCTGAAGGTTCCCTCTATGCTGTGGGGAAGGGCCATGCTGGAGATGGTGTCTTTGGGAGAGCTGAGGGCCATATTCTTCCCATGGAAGAGCTATGAGGAAGTGTTGATACTGGGATTGGTACCAGTGATTGAACAATGAGCAACACAGTAGATCAAGAGAAGCACCTAGCAAAGGGAAAACCACAGTGACATGAGATACAGCCATCTACCAAAGATGTGTCTATGTGTGGAGACCTCTGCTGGAATTCCTTTTTTGAGCTAACCCCATTTCTCTCCATTTCTTAGCTTTTGATTACTTTTCAGAGAAAGAGGTCCACCTCCACAGGCATTTATTTGGTTGACCTTCTCTAGGTATTAGTTGTGTTCATATTCCTAGACTAATTCTATTCCCAGCCTTGATTGAAGACGCTTCCCTTTGCAGCGAGTGGTGGTGAACACAAGCACTCACAACTGTTCAAGGTGCTAAGAAAAAGTGACAGTTGAGTGCATATCCAAAACCAAGACATTTATATCACCCCCTTTCTGGAAGATGGTATAGGAGGTCCTTCTGTCTATGTGTTGCTTTCCTTGGTTGAATAA